GGGGCCGCCCAGTCTCGGCAGCATGTTGGCGGCGGTGAGCGCAGCGGCGGCGAGCTAGCGGGCAGGTGGTTCGACCCGAAGAGCGCGGGAGCCGCCTCCTCCACTTCTTTCTCCTCCCCGGGCCTCCGCAGCCGGGTCCTAAAGGGCCCTGCTTCTCCCCGCCCCCTGCCTTCTCCCCTCCCCCTTTTGGAGACCACCCCCTTCCCCCAACACTCCCGCGCGCGGGCATGTGTTGGCCGCGCACCTACTTGCCCACCCTCGGTTTGCCCCCCGCCTCTGTGGGTCTCCGATTCCTCTCCGGCCTTTGTCCCTCCACTGCCTTCTACGTCGGTCTCCCTGACTCCCAGGAAATAATAATAACTTGGGGGTTTGGGTGGGATCGCGTGGGAGTGGAGAGGAGTGGGTGCTTTTGTCTCCTATCTCAGTTCACTTCGGACGGACTTGGTTTGAGCGCTTCACATGTGCCTGGCACTGTACTGACTACTGGGGCTGAGGGTGTGTGGGAAGGATATAAAGGAAGTGCAACCTTCAAGTAGCTTTCAGTCTCTTTCAGCCCCTTATGATAAACAGCTTCCCAAATCCGGGAGCTCCTAGTAAGAATCAGAAATGCAATTTGGGCACTGGGAGACCTCCATACTCCTCCCCCTTCTATCCCCCCTCCTCTCCCGCCAATAATCCCTTAGCGACCTGGGTCCCCAGTTACAAATCCAGAGAGACTTTTGCTGCAGGAGAGATCCCAAAACACCCTGCCGCGAGGGCTCTTGGGAGGGGTCAGCCTTCCCGGTATAAGTCCTGGGGTAAGGTCATTTACAGCTCTCTCCAATCATACAGATGGACCGAACCGGTCTCAGGTCATTGTTCTGTCTGATATACTATCAGAGCTGTCCCCCACCCCTCCCATCATTAAGGCAGAACTCTGTCTTAATTATCACCCATCTCCCTGGGTCATAACCCTAACAAAAACCCTTGTCAGGGAGATCCACTTGATGAGAGACGGCCCATTAAGCTGCCTCCAGCCAGCCCAGCCAATGTTTAATTTCCCAATACCCTGGTCATCATGATACACCAATCACTAGAAAAGAAGACATCATGTTTGGTAAAGTGGAGGGTCCGCGAAAATCAGGGAAACCTGCCATGAGATCGACAGACTCGGGTAGCAGCAACAAGGGGCTCAGACACACCCACGGCTGTGAAGATGACGCAGGACTGGGCCATGTTCCGTTGTGTAAGTTGTTATACATAAGTCACCATGCTTCAGAGTCAACTACAGGGCAAGGAACAACATCCCAGCGTCTTCCTTCCCCACCAGACTGCTTCCCTCCAGCTCTTTCTGACTTTAAGTCTCAGAGCCATTTGAATCAATTCAACAGCTACTTACCAAGTGGCTACGTGGACCTGAAAGAGGTGACCTAGATGCCCTGGAACATAGTAAAACTCATTTAAAGTAAAACTAACAGTGTTATGGGAAAGGGTTTGGTAAGACAAATAAATAACTGGTTGCCAGAGGCTGAGAGGAGCAGAAATATTCAGACAGAGGGGTGATGGTGGTCCTGGGAAGGTGGTTCATAGGAAGTCAGAACTGAAGGTGGAGTTTAGAATTTTACCAGGGGCAGTGCAGAGGGCGCGAGGGCATCCCAGTCAGAGGAAACAGCCAAAGCAAAGGCATGGAAGTGGGAAAGTGAAGTTGGAGACTAGAAAGTGAGTCCATGTTGGCCGGAGAGCAGAGTGCTTGGAGGTACGGTGGGAGACTGCCAGGAAAGGCCAGTTGTTTTGTGGGGAAGTTTGGCTTCATTTGGCAGGCAGTGGGCATACACCACTGGAGTATGAGTACAAGAGTGTAATAGATAGGACTGGGCCTCTGGAAATCATCGGGAGCTGCATGTAGTGCAGACCTGGCAGAAGTCAAAAGAGACAGGCCTGGGAGGCTCCAGTCACTTCACCTCCATGTGCCCCAGCATCTTGAGTCTGCCTTGTAAGGTTTCTGCTGGTCATAGCATTAAGCATGACCTCAAACATGAAGTTCAAGCTCCTTCAGAGTAGGAACAGTGTCTAGCATGATGCCGTCTAATGGAAATATAATGCAAACCACAAATGTAAGCCACGTGTAATTTTCAATTTTCTAGTAGCCACATTAAAAAAAAAAAGTAAGAAAAGGAACAGGCAAAATTCATTTTAATAGACTTTAACTCAGTAGATCCAAATTATTATCATTTCAATGTGTAATCCAAAAATATCATTTTGTGTATAATTAATATTAAAAAGTATTCCTGGGTGGATACTGCCATCGAGTCGGATCCAACTCATGGCAACCCCTCCTTGGGTTTCCAAGGCTGTATCTCTACGGAAGTAGATTGCCCAGCTTCCTTCCGAGGAGTGGATTAGCGTTCCTTTATTTATACTAAGTCCTCGAACTCTGAAGTGTGTTTTCTACATACCAAAACCAAAATTGACTGCCATCAAGTCAGATCTGACTCATAGCGACCCCTCCTTGGGATTCTGGGCAGTATGATTACAGCAGTAGATTGTCCAACCTTCCTTTTGAGGAGTGGCTGGTGGGTTTGAACCACCAGCCTTCTGGTTATGAGTCAAATGCCTTACACACTGCACCACCAGACCCTATGTGGAATGCAACACACAACCACCACCGTGGAGTTGGATCTGACTCATAGCGACCACTCATTGTGTTTCCGAGGTGTTATCACTACAGAAGTAGATTGCCCAACCTTCCTTCCAAGGATTGACTAGTGGGTTTGAACTGCCAGCCTTCTGGTTAGCAGTCAAATGCCTTAGACAATACGCCACCAGAGCTCCCTTTTCTGGCTAGTTGGAATTGAGGTGTACTGCTTTCTACGTATGTTGTTATTGTTGTTGTTGTTGTCATATGCCGTCGAGTCGGACCCAACTCATAGTGACCCCTCCTTGGGTTTCTGAGGCAGAATCACTACGGAAGTAGATTGCCCAACCTTCCTTCCGAGGAGTGGCTGGTGGGTTTGAACCGCCAGCCTTCTGGTTAGCAGTCAAGTGCCTTAGGCACTATGCTACCAGAGCTCCTTTTTCTACGTATAGCACACCTCAATTCCAACTAGCCAAAATTCAAATACTCAGTAGCCACATATGGCTAACCACTACCATACTGGACAGTGCATAGATTAAAAGTACAGTGCCTTGCACCCAGTGGGCATTCAATAAATATTTGTTGAATGAATGAGTGAGTAAACGTCTCACTGTAAAAATTGTCCAGCTGGGACTTTCATTCACAGTCTATCTCTCTTAACAGTGCTCAGCAGCTAAGGATGAAACTTGGTGTTGACTCTATGAAGAAGCTAGGAGAGCCATTCATTCATTCATTCGCTACTCACCTTCTGTAATTCATCCTCCTTCCTCCCCCTTTTAAACTTCTTGCTTAAGGCTATGGAGAAGGCAGACAACTTGACGCTAACTTGACAAGTACAAAGTACTTGTGAGATTTCTCTTTCTAATGAGTCTGAAGACCACTACCAATTCTTTCCTTCTAGCTCCCAAATTAATAACCAATGATTGTCCCACCACCACCACCACATCCACCACTAACCCCATCTTTTGAAGTCCTTTCTGCAAAACCATAACCCACAAAGTCTCACCCCAGAAAGACCAGTTGCTGGTGAGGCTTGCATCACAGAATACCCTCAGTCAACCGAAACTTTAAAAAGTGGGGGGACTTGGCCAAGACTCCAGGTCTGGTTACTGGCTTGCCTGGAATATGACCATTTTGCTTACTGCTGTAGGCCCAGGCCCTAGAACCGTGCATGGTACACAGATGCTCAGTGTTGAGCATTGAATAAATGCAAGTTCTCTGGTCTTGGTCTTCTCTTCTGCTTTGCTCATTCCCTGGAGTGCTCATTGCTTTAAATTTTTCGTGAGTTCTCTGCAAAAAATTATGTTCTTAGGCCTGAGAGCCTGTCTGTGCCCAGCAGTGAGGACTGGTTGAAGGATGGGACAGGCTGAGACTGGTTTTCTCTCCTCCCTCTAATCCCTGCCTTTTTCCACTTGAACAGTGTTTCGCAAACTCCACCCTCACAAGGTTTACCATAACTAAATACCACCTGTACTATTATTTCATAATTTTTTAATGCAAGTTGATTCCTTTTTTTTTTTCAACTTAAAGCTATTTTAAAAAGAAACTTTATATCACTACCATAAATGGAAAACTAGTATTAATGGCCATATATGGATGGCAACCATCAAAATAAACACAACAAAAAGAAATCAGTGTTACTCAATTTGAGCTGGATTTTGTCGCTTGTTGAAGCCTCTGGGCCTGGCACACTCTCCCCTAGAGAAGAAAGATGAGCAAGTCTAAGAGAAATGCTAAACCCCAGCCAGACTCAAGCTGAGATTTTCTCCATGAAGTAATAGAAGGATAGGAATCCTTTAAAAACTTTTTATTGAAGTATAATAAAACTCACTGCCATCGAGTTGGATCCAACTCATAGTGACCCCTCCTTGGGTTTCTGAGGCGGTACCACTATGAAAGTAGATTGCCCAACCTTCCTTCCGAGGAGTGGCTGGTGGATTTGAACCGCCAGCCTTCTGGTTAGCAGTCAAATGCCTTAGGCAAAAAGTGTATAATATAAACTAGATAAATGTTCACAAACTAACCAACCATATAATCAGCACTCAGATTGAGGCAGAGAACATTAACAACACCCAAGTGGATCTCCCGACCCCTTCACAGACCTTTTGAGCTATTACATCCCTCTCCTTCAAGTGTGACCATTATCCTGATTTCTACCAGCATAGGTGAGTTTTGCCTGTTTTTGTATTTTATATAAAC